CTGAAATAGTATTTTAAAAGTATGGTAAGGGTGATACTAGTGTTCTGAGACATGCAAATAGGCTCCCAAATGTAAAAGTGTATTTTTGATGTTATTTTTTTAATGAGTTGGATCTTAAAGTTGCTGTGTGTTTTCTCTAAACTGCATGGCACAGCTAGGACTGTTTCAGATACTGCTTTTTAAAAGTCAGTTATCAACCAAGATCTCAAGATTCAGGGTGCTTCAGGATGGAGGATGGCTTGTAACAGCTATTCCATCTTGGGCTTCTTAGCAAATTTTCTTTGGTAAGAAAACAGACTGAAGTAGGGCTGGGCAAACACTGGAGGTTGCAAATGAAAGCTGATGTTTGCATCGGACCAGGACCATGCAGGACCACCCCATCGTTCCTTCACTAAATGTTTGTGAGCCATGGTCTTGTCCCACAGAAGTGTCAATTGCATGCTGAGGCTCAAGGCACATATGGAACATATGACAGGCCACGATGTGAAATAGCACTAATTGAACGTGGAAGGTTGACCTGTGTCTGCCTCACTTTTGAAGGGGTGGCTGCTTATCCATTTCACACTGTGAGCTGGTAGTCTGAGCAACCGGCTCAGGAAGATGTGCTTCTATCTAGGAGTTAAAGCTTTACAGCACAATTGTATGCACACTTACCCCAGAGTGAGTTACACTAAAACCAGTAGAAATTTCCTCTAAGCAAACATTCACAGAGCTCCATCTGTGATTAAACCACAGGTTACATAGGTTAAACCTAACATAAACTTTTATAAAGAACTGGAATGGACATTTATTTCTTCCTGCCCCCAAATAAGTTCTTCTGTTATTATTGTTAAAAATGCAGGATACAATATTTACTGCTTTTTCTTTGTTAGCTTCCTTGAGCACTTCAGTTTGGAAAGGCAATAGAGAATGGAGGGAAGTAAAAATAATGAATAAATACATTATTTTATCCAGTTTATATAATAATTAGCTATCCATCTGTCAGAGATGATTTAGCTTGGAGTCCTGAATTGAGCAGGAGGTTGGACCAGTGACCTTACTGGCCCTTCCAACTCTACTAAGCTATGATTTCGTGATGATAATCCTAAGTTTTTTTGCTCTGCAATAACTTGTTCTAGGGGCTTCCAGACAAGTTTTTTATTGTGCAATTGCCCTACTTCATTTACAGCATGTGGTGGGGGGACATTGCTTTCTCCCACTGGTAACCCCCCGTGTTTTCCCATTGCTTCTTTTTCTTGTGTTTTTTTCTTACCACAGAAAATGCTATATGGAGGAAAGGATGACACCTTTCTGTCTGAAGTCACCCTCTATCCTATGCAGTAGTTATCTACCCAGCCACTAGAGGGCAGCCTGTCCAACTTGTCTTTCATTTGTGCATCTGGCCACATCTGGTCATTAATTGTGTGTGTGTGTGTGTACAAGGGGTGGCGGAGACAAAGAATAACAAGTGAGTTGTTGTTCTTGTCCATTCCACGCTATCAGATCTCACCAGCAAATCCAATCCATGTGCACTTTAGGCTTAGCTGGCAGAGGGACAAGATTATGAAAACATAGTGATGTCACCAAAAGTGAGAAGCACAGTGTGTGTAGTGTATGTGTGCATATGTGGGAGGGCATACATGTAAAAAATACTTAAGGAGCAGGAGACATTATCTCCAAAACTAAAAGTAGAGTGGGCCATTGCACTGGGATTGAAATGTGCCACAGAGACTTGTCCTAGCCAACAAGTAGTAAGGACTCCTGGACTTGCACAGCCCTGCAGTAATTATTCCATCACGAGTCCGGAGAATAAGGCCCAGACTTGTGATTTGGGAGATCTGTGATTGAATCTCCTTCCATGCATCTGATCAGAGCAGAGATGTATGTTTAGCCCTTTTCCACATCACCACTGCAGGCTATCCTGGTGGAAAAAAACAAGTAAAACAAGTGTTTCTGGATTGTTCTGTTATTCTAACCCACTTACCCCTTTCTTTCCCAAAGCTAACAAGCAAACCCACAAGGAGAAGTTTTATTACTTTTAAAGCTCTAAACAGAGGCAAAGTCTAAGCTTGCAATGAAGCAGGGAAAGAACTAAAAAAAGTGTTTTTCCTAAATGATTGGGCTCATGCTGAGGAGTGAGAATTATTGATCACATTAAAGTATCTGAGCATATATTGAGTGCATTCTTACAAGCCCTCTCAACTGGACTTAAAGATTTAGGCTTACTCAGAATCCTGGCACCTGTGAACCGTCAGACAAAATGTGGACAATGAATGTCTCTGTGGAATGCCCAAGGACATAACCATGGAAAAAGGAAACTCCCTGGCACCTGGCCCGGCAGGAGGATTTCCTCTTTACACCCTAATCCTCCTGGCTGAAGGTTAGCTGCTTGAGTTAATTGGGGATAAGGAAGATCAGGGGCTCAGTGGCATCTGGATAAAGCAGGACAGCAGCACTGGGGGCTTTCAGCTCTCCATCAGGCACTTTCTAGTACCTCATCCCTTATGTGCAAAGTCCCATATAGTCTTTTATGCCTGTCCTCATAGCAACCCACAATAAAATTACTCCCATTTCAGGAAACTGAGGCTCAGAGACTTGTCCAAGTCACTCTGGGGTTTGAACCACAGTCCAGATGCCACAGTTAACCCATCAGTCCACATTCAACTGGCTTATTGTGATGATCCTAAGCAGTTAAGAGCCCTTCTGCACATTATATGTCCCAAACCCTGACTGTGTGACCAAGAATGCATTTGACAGGGGGTGTACTGAGAGCCATACCAGGATCTCTGATGCCTTCACTTCCGCATGTGCTTTTCTCTTATCCATGTTTTGCAGCATATATGTACAAAACGCTTTAGATGTGCACATTTTAAAAATTGGTCCAGGAATTGTGGACCAGGTAATCTAATATCTTTTGTTCTCCCACCTTCTGCTCGGGTCTCTGCCCTTTGGGTGTGGTGTTTTTGAGCTGTTCGAGGGAGATAGAGGGTGGTGCCTGGGTGAAGCTTGCAGGCTGTCTGGGGCGCCATTTGTGCAGCACTGGTCAGAGGTTTCCCCTTCCAGGGACAGGGAATTCTGTGTAGTCTGAACAGTAATTCATTGAAGCTGGTCCCATAAAAAAGGTGGCCTTTCCTGCTCTGAATGATAATGCTGTCTATTTTTTCCCACAGCTATTCAGTCCTGATTCTGTAGAAACGTAATAGTGGCATGGCCCTTGCCCATTCCATTTGCATGCCTTATCATAGGAAATAACTCAGGCCCCACTAAAATTAGACATAGGTTCTCCACATGATCAGTGTCATGTTTTTAAGGGGCTCTTAGCCTATATACTTCGTCAACTCTTCCTTTAGTTCTTCTATTGAATGTTTGTAAACATTCCTTACGATCCTTCTTTACTAACCTTTCTTGTTAGTAAAATGCCTTGCATGTAGATGGTACTTTATACAAAACAACGCTGGCCTAAACATGTTGTGTAAATACAGCCATAAGCCACAGGAATAAATGCCACTCTGCGAAAAATATAATCCGGTGAAGCTTTCTAAAGTGGAAGTTGCCACCTAATTTACACCAGGGTAGCTATTTGATACACCCATGAATTTAGTTTGTTCTCTTGTATGTATGTATGTATGTATGTATGTATGTAATAGATCCTCACCCTTTTCCTTTCCCTTCTTAAGTTTCAGGTATGCTGTGGTATCTGGTGTTCCTTAACCATTCACTACATCCTGAACTCATTCTTTTAAGGCTGAAGATAAAAGATTCAATTTTTCTACCCCATATATTTCGATGTGGGTTAAGCTTCCTGGTAAAAATAACTAATTACTTGCACTTTTCTCTTCCGAGAGCTCAGGGCCGCTTTAACCAGCAAGTCAGGTCTAGCAACGTTTTTCACTGAAGATTTTGCTGAGGTGATAAGGATTTGCAAAATGCTTGTCTTTGAGTTAACAAGCTCAGCTTTTGCAAGTCATATTTCATAATCAAGATAATTTAGGAATTCTCACTGTAGTTGAAACTGGACAGAACCAACCGGGAAATCAGATATCAAAACAGGCAGGAGGAATTAGTATTACAACTCTGTTGACAGGAGAATTGGAAGATCTTTATAAGGTTCTGTGATTTTGGCCACAAATGGTGGCAGGTACCCAGAAAAAAAGCATGACATAGACTTGCCAAGGGCTGGACTTACTAGGAGAGAGAGAGTGACGCAGCTGCCTCTGGTGGCAGTTTGGTGACCTTGATTCAAGGGTGGCAAACTGGCTGTCAGGGTCGAGAGGCCACCTCTATTTTCCCAGGCCAGCCCTGGGTCAGCGACAGGACCACTTGTGGTGTCCCTACTAGGCTAGCCTGATTTTACTTCTCACATGTGCTGTGCCTTTGGGCCTCATGCTACCTCCTCCCTGCCAGGATTCAAGAGATGGTTCAGATTCCTTCATGCTCTCCCCAAGCTCATCCTCCCGTACCTTCAGGCACCCTCTCTGTCTCCTGCATGCCATATGGAAATGCCCATGGATTTCAGCACAGCCCGTCCCATCTGACCTCAAATCACCCTGCAGCTCGGCTAGGAGAGCTGGGCAGGCATGTGGCAGTGGGGAAGGGGGTGTCAGTCACCCTCCTCCTGCTCTCTGTATTGCACGAGGGGGCTTGCTCTGCCTAGCACGCTGCTCCCGGCAACTACGGCTGCCCCAGGATAACCCGGCTCCAGTGGGGCTTCTGACGCCGGCGCATCACTGCCTGCCAGTGCATCGGCACCCCCTCCACACTGACCCAGCTCACCATTTCTCAGCAGTGGCTTTCAGCTCAGCACAGGGTGGCTCTTCCATGGGGGGGGTCTTGTCCCTCTGCCAGGGGCGCCTTTGGGCTGGGGCTCTCAGACATGCTGGAGCTGGACCGGCGTGCCTGCGTGTGCAGTGATGCAGGGGAGAGAGGCTTCCTCTGGCTGGAGGCAGACGGAGCCCTGCCCAGTCATGTGGGGAGGGGTGGACAGATAGACGGATGGGTGGATCTTGGGTATTCCAGATATGCTCTAGTGGCTGGTCCGGCACTGAGATGCAATCTGCAGAGGCTTAGCTGGGATCAGCACCCTCCCTCCCCTCTGCAGCTGGACCTGTGGCCAAGCAGGGGCCAGGAGGAGTCAGTGCTCTCTGAGCATTGCAACGCTGGACTGGAGTCATGGACAAGAAGAGCAGCCACATCGGGGCCACCGGCAGGCACCTGCCTCCTTGCAGTAAGCATCCCCGGAGGAACTGAAGCTCTAGGGGGGAATGGACAGGTGCCAGCCAAACCAGCTGGGGCCCCAGAGGGGCTATGTGTGGCTGATCAATGGCTCTGTCTCTAAGAGAGGAGGGGCTGGGCTAGCTTGTGGGGCCCTTGGGAGGCCGTTGCTTGGGGGCTCTGTCTGTGTGGCAGTGGGCAGTGAATTTGGGTCTGTGAACATGTTCTCCCAGAGAACTGGAGCCATCAGTGACTATCCAGAGAGGTTAAAGGAAGCCTGGGCATCTCTCCAGATGTATGTGTGAGATCAGGCAGACTGGCTGGCAGACATGTCACTCTGCACATACTCAGAGGCTTTGAAATACAGGCTTCAAGCACTGTATTTGAAACCCAGCACTGCAGCACTGGCAGCTGGGTCTTAAGAGACTGGCTCAGAGACCGGGCTGCAACATCAGAGCTGATTTCTCATGCTTGCCTAGAGTTCTTTGCATGTGGCTCCAGCACAATAGGCAGAAGAATGATGGAGAACTGGATTGGCATCAGGGCATGGCGGGATGTGTGTGACAGCCGAGCTGGGAATTTCCATGTAGCATGAGGGGGAGGGGAGCAAGGAGCACAGAGGCCTCATAGCACTGCTGGGATCCTGAAACAAATTTTGTTTCTGTCTGACCAGTGCTGGGCACTGAAAGGAATGGAAGTGAAGGGGGAAACTTTGGGTGTGTCTGTGGGAACAGGGAAGCTGCTGAGCTGTTTTATCAACCTGTTCAGCTACAGGGAACTAGTGATGCAGAAAAGCATTGCCTGCTTACTGTGTACATGTGATAGTTTTGGTAGTGGAATTGGCTACAGCTCAATACAAGTTATAGTTGTGTTTGCCAGCACAACCCAGTGTGTGTTTATCCAAAGTCAGCCTCACTGTGAACAGTGGAACTTACCTGAGGAAATAGTGCATAGAATTGCACACTCCATTGCCCTGATTTCAATGAGAAATGTTTGTACATATGGATTGGGGTCATAGTGTGTATGTATGACTGGGCTGAGACAATGCAATAGTTGACACTCAAGGGTTGAGTATGGCTTATCCTTGAACTGGGGATTGTTGTAATGTGGCTTATCAAGTTATCTGAACCCAGCTGAGATAACAAATCATGGTGAACAACCATAGTTCACAACTCAAAAAAAAAGCCATAGATTCTCTTCAAGGGGTGTCTCTGCTTATCATGTAGACAGCAGAATAATACATTGTTTCAGCAACAACCCACACAACCCATACTTAACCCTTGAGCGTGGGTTACTGAATTATCTGAACACAGTCTCTGTATGGGTGCATATAGGGGCTGGATAGTACCTGTGAAGTTAAACTGTGTGTGCTTTGTATTTATATCTCTGTGTGAACCAAGTAGCTGAAGGCACAGTCCTGTTTATGTCTGCCCAGAATGAATCCTGACTGAGTTTAGAGAAACTGACCTCCAGGAAAATCTGAAGCTTCACTGAGTTCTGTGAAGACTTAATGGCACTGCGCTTGGAGCAGAGAGCTTTGGACCACAAGTTTCAAGATACAAAATAATCCGAATACATCTAAATCAGAACCAGTGAAAGCCATTGGCTAGCTTTGAAGCTGAACTGAACACAGAAGTTCAATGGCATCAGAAGAACGAGAAATTGACAGTGAAAAGAGAAACAAATGCTTCTGATTATATAAAGTCAGGAAATTATTGCATCAGGCACTGCCCGGTCTCCAGAAGAATGCTGCCCACTTTTTCATCATAGGCAAACAGAATGGGAATGAAAACAGGTGCAGAGAGGAGGCTAAAGGACTGATAGTATTGGTAATATTATTGGTAATTAGTCGTAATTTACTAGTAGATTGTGCTTTACATCAAAGCATGGCATGTTTACTGCCCTTGTGACCCATCTGCCAGGGGTTAAATATTTCTCTCACCATTTTGGGGTGGCAATTTAGAAAAAAACCGTGGATTTTTAGGTGGGATTGCACTGCCCTCTGGTGGTCAAGTAGGTTAAGAAGTCATTTACAGTTTGAATAAATAAATGGGTTTACCTCTAAGGTCAAGATCATCCATGTTGTTCTATTTTCCATTAGTATGTATAGGCATGAAAGCTGCACAGTGAAGAAAGCTGACTGAAAGAGAAGGGATGCATTCAAAACATGGTGCTTGAGAAGAGCTTTGCAAAGAACTGCCGCCTTCAGGTGTTCTGTGCCAATAGGGCGTCTGTTTACACACAACCAAACAGGAAGACACTGTTTTTGCTAATTTATGAACTCAGATGCAACTCTAGAAAGAATGGCAATAATTAAAATAGAAACACAATGTGCTAGTTCAGAGTGGAGAAGACTGGCCAGGTGCTCGTTGTGCCTGCTGCCCAGATGCTAACTGGCAGTGGGCTGCTTCAGGGTTTCTCTGATCATTCTTTATCTTCAAGTTGGATTTGACCCTGCAGGAAGGATCACCCTTGGCCTGGGGGAAAATGGGGGAGTCACCAAGTTGGAAGGGAAAGAAACACTGGCACTTGGGAAGTAGCGCATCAGTCGCAGCGAACAAACACAAAGAGCTTCCCTTTTCACAGAGAGGAAGCAGGCATGGTCATGCAGCAGACTGCAATGGGCACGGTCACCAAGAGCAATCGAGCAGTCAATCTGAGTCTGGGAAGCAGCGGGAGCCTCCCCATTCCCACAGAAGCAAGCAGAGAGAGAAAGCATGCAAGGGCCAAGGACTTAGGGACTGGGTGTGGACAAGCTCTCAGCACGGACCCGGCAACCCAGCCTGGAGCGTGGACTGCTTGCGCTCCTCCTGCCTATGCCAAGGATGGCAGCCGGCTGTCCGTGGTCAGGACAACTGAAGGACTGGTTGGACTCTCCTGCCCTCTGTTAGCTGCTGTCAGTCGATAAGGCGAAAAGGAAGATGCTCAGAAATAAAGAGTGAGATTGGGATGCAGTCGGAGTATTTGCTGCCTGGACAACACTGGGCCAAGAGTTTTGTGCCTGCTTTGTATTTTCTTCTGAATAAGCTGTGCATTGTAAGTCTTGTGTGTGTGTCTGCGTGAATGCAAGACTAGGATATATTCCCCTTTGGCCGTGAGCACTAAGCCCAATGCAAGGTCCCAAGGCGTTCAAGATATCTAGAGGGCCAGGGCCTCCTTCTGACGTGAAATGCTGCCTGGGACTGCCTGGTGTAAAGAACAGAAGCATTCTGGAGGACAGAGCTGTGAAGAACTGGATTTGCTCTGTCCTGCCTAAGTTCAACTGTTTCCTTCAGTGTGGTGGAGGGTGTTGACTCAACAGTGCATGAAGAAAGATTCCTGCTGGTCCAGCCAGTTTTTTATATGGAGCAGGAGGGAGCAGCGTCCTGTCGTTTGCCTCAGGCAGCACATGCCTTGGGTGAAGGTTTGCTTGGCTTATTGTCTCTTTCTGCTGAGGTCTGCTGCCATGATTGAAACAGGGGCAGTACAGCCTTGCACAGTTTCTGGTCCACAGTCCTGTTGCTCTGAGTCCATCAGCCACTGTTTGGTAGAACTGTCTCATAGAAAGAACTACAGGTACCCTCAAGGAGCACCACTCCAAGATGCAGGGGTGCGGGCAAAATCTGTGGAGTGGAAAGCCAGATCGTAGCCCCACTGCCGTGTGAAGAGGTTGGGGCTCAGAACTAAGCTTTTGTGGCCCCCTGCTACGCAGCACCCTGCCACGGGGTGCAGGCCTGCCCAGTCTGGTGTTGGATTTCCCACATGGAGTCAAAGCATGACTATTTCACAAAGCCAGTTCTCCCCTGACCCTGGCTCCATGTTCAGCTCCTCTCCTGCCTTGACTACCGCAGCCTTCTCCCCTCTGGTCTTTTTCTGTGAGACGTTCATTCCAAACTCTGCTGTTCAACGTGTTTGCCGATCAAGGTAGCCGATTCATGGAAATGCAGCTGAAATTTTTGTTGGAAACATTGCTTTGGAGCATGATCTGATGGGCTTCATATTTACTTTGTTTTGCATACTGAGTCAAGGTTGTAGGAGACAGACAAAGCTTTCCTTTGAACAGCCAAGCACCCATTATCACAAGAACACAAACACTCCACCCCTCGGGGTGCCTATGGCATCTCTTTAGTGAAAGTGAAAGGGTTTCACTTTCTAGCTCTATCTCATTACCTGTTCTGGCCTTGAGGTCACTGCTGTTTGCCATTGAATGTACTCTTCTTTTGGCCAGTTGTTTACTATCCCGGATTGCATTTTCGTGTCTCAGTGTTCTTTCAATATCATACTAATGACCCAGCTCCTCTGGAAGCTTAAGCAATGCCTGTGATGGACCATCCGAAAAGGCTGACACAGGACCTTTTGCTCCGAAGGCAGGAAATCCAGATGGTTCTCCAGGCTCAGCACAGAAGTCTCAGTGTGCCAAACTTCATGTAGAAAGGAGCCTTCCAGCACCGTCTTGCATAAAACCGTTAAACCTCAACAGGGTTGCGCCGTTTGGTATTTCAGAGTAGCTGGATTGCTCCTAATGCTGAGAGAGCCCATATATCATTGTCCAACTCACTGAGCCATTGTTTTTCCATTCAGGTTCCTTCTTTAGGAAAAGGAGCCCCATGTCTGACATACTATGACTGGGAAATCACTCTGAAAAGCATGGCACAGCTGGCAGGGGGAGGATAGGGTGCAACCAGTCTGCATTTGGAAATACTGGGCCAGCTCACCAAGCTTTTCCTGGATTTCCTACCTCAGACAGTAAAAAGCAAGCACTGAAACCTGCTTAATTCTGCAACTCCCCATTGTGAATTGGCAATAGTTGACAACTTCTCCCAATGGAGAGATGTAACTGGTGGATTCCCATCGCGTTCTGTATTAGGATTAATGCGTTGGCCTGGCTTTTCAGTGGGGGACGCATAAGGGTCAGGCAGATACACACTGGCAATCTAAACGTTTCTATCCCCGGTGCTACGTAGCATAGGTAGGGAGCCATGTTGGGCCTACCGCCACACTGGCCATTTTGAAAACAGTTCCAGGCAATACTACGCATTGCCACATTGGTAGTATCCTGCTCTCTGAATTCTTGCTTTTCTTGCCCCCACCTCTCTGGATTCCCTGTGGAGGAGGGCTAGTCAAGTGATCCAGTTTGCTCATGAGTATTTAGTATTTAGACGGGGTAAAAGCAAAAGGGATTTTGAGGACTTCCAAAAGGATATCCCGAAGCTCAGAGAATGGGCATTGAAATGGCAAATTGAGTTCAATGTAAGTAATGTATGTTGGTGCAAACAATTCCAACTTCAAGGACATGCTGATGGGTTTTGAGCCAGCAGTGATAGAGAAAGAAAGGGATTGTGGGTTAGTAGGAGACAGTTCAGTGTACATGTAGACCCAGTGAACAACTGCTGTGAAAAAGACAAACTCTGTGCTAGTTCTAATTAGGAATGGAATAGAAAATAGATCTGCCATGTCTTCCTCCCCTGATAGAATTCTTTAGTGCAACTGTACTTAGAATCTTGCATCCTGTTCTGGTTTCCTTCCCTGAAACTATAGAGAAGTGTAACGAAAAGATCCTGGGACTGGAACAGTCCCACTATGAGGAATAGCTATGAAAACTGGAACTGTTCAGCTTGGAGAAAAGGTGAGAAAGAGAAGACATGATAGAAGTATTTAAAATAATTCATGGTGTAGAGAATGTGGAGAGGGAGGCATTTCTCTTCCTTGGCACTGGGCTAATCTCATCAAGCTGATTGCTGGGAGGTTTTAGCAGATAAGAGGAAGTCCTCCTTCATTTACTGTGTAATTAAAATATGGAATACACTCCAAGGGGACATGGTGATGGCCGCTTATCTGGATGGCTTGAAAAGCGGATTGGACAGTTTCATGACGGAGGAGGCTACTGTTGGGCATACAAGGGTAGTTTTCCTTGGCACATAACCCAAGGTCAGACAGATTCAGACTTGTCAGATGACAAGGGTGTCTGGGAAACAGAATTTGCATTGCTTCTGAGCAGTACCATCCAGGAGTCATTCCATTTGCTCCATCCCAACCTTTGCCCTAAAAATGACATGGGCCAGCTGCCCACCAGGTCACAAACCCTCCGCTCTGACCACTGGCCATGTGATGGGCTTGAGAAATGTTTAAATTGAGAACGAAGAAAGTCTCATCATCAGAACACTGAAGCTGCTTGCAGAGAAACTATCCAAGGTAAGCTGCCTCCAGTGGAACAGGTATCTTACAATCTTTGATAAAGGGCTTTGCTGCACATTTAAGAAATCCTATGGTAAGCCATGTAGCAAGCTCCTGTCTTGGAAGAACCTGTGCATGACCACTGGGTGCATTTACTAGAAGCTGCTGCATATGTGTGTGAGAACTTGTAAAGCTGTTTTTGTTCCTCTTATCGGAATAACAGGATAGCATTTCCAGTGTTTGTTTCTCTGTGGGGTGGAATTGGGGATCCACTTTTTTTGGGGGTGGGGTGATCTCCAGATGCTTTGGACTTCAGCTGCCATGAGTTGAAGTGTGGTTGTGGGGTTTAGAGTGCTGGACTGGGCACCTGGGAGATCTGGGTTCTAGTCTCTCACTGGGGGATCTTGGGCCAGCCGCTCACTCTTAGCCCCACGTATCTGTTGTGCTTTGTAGGCTGCCTTGGGTTCTTCACAGGAGGGAAAAGGGCAGGGTATAAATGCAATGCAATATTCCGATCCAGCATTTTGAGCAGTGGTCCAAAACATCTGGAAGGCATTGAGCTGGGAAAGGCTGCTACACTCTGTTGGGGGAGAAGTTTACACGTGTGATATACAGCCGCAGCTTCCTTGCATGCTGGAAGGAAATTCATTTGTCCGTGCCCTTGATCACTGATGAACAGAATTCAGGATGAAAGTCCTCGAGTGATTTAGGCAGAGCTTGTGATGTGCATATGACACGCCTGCTCCATAGAAATTGACAAGCGCTCCAGTCAATGTCGTCTTCCCCCTGAAACCTTCCTGTTGTTTTCCTGCTGCTTCTCCCATCTTTTTTCTCAGCAGGACAGCATCCTGTTAAGAGAGGAGAGATGAGGTGGCTCCAGAATGTCTTTTGGTTGGCAGTGCCAGGAGCTTTCCAGTGGGAAATTCCCGGGGGTGGGTTGGTATCCTGTGCCTTGGCCTGCAAGTTCCAAACTAATAAGCACGCTGTATTTCCAAACCTGTTTAAGAATGGCTGCTGGAATGCACTGGGATTCTAAGCCGGGGGCCTCGCCGGGAGGGCTCAGCAGAAAGCTCTAAGACTGCTTCTCCATCTAGATGTGCATTGAAATGCCAGGGGATGGTTTGCAATCTTGCAAGCCACCCTGTTTGCTCACAGCAAAGAGATAAAATGATGGCACCCCGTTTGGACAGCGTTTGGTGAGCTGCTGAGGACAGGTTTGTTTTGGGAGATCTTATCTTGGCACCTCATCAAAATGAAGCTATCAGCTGTGTGTTTTGTTGCATCTCAGCTATCACTTCTCTTGCACTTTAGTGATTTAGTGTTGCTGGCTCTATATTGCATTTCAGATGAAGGTGGTCATATTTATGCTCCTGCTTGCTCAAGTGTCCTGGGCCCATGGACCAAACACAGGTATTGCTGACCCTAACAAACCCGTGAGGAAAACTGTCCTACAATTAGTAGGTAATGTGCGAAACTTCCTTGGAAAGGCCGGTGCTTCTGCTCGCTGCTTTGGAGTTCACTCCTGCTTTAGTCCTCTGGGTCCCCCACGTTTCGGCTTCATGGGCTGCACAAGGAGTGGCCAATGGCAACAGAACAAACCTCTTGCCAGTGTCCTCTTCACAGCTGTCTTAAGTATTGGGGACAAAGTAGGGAAATACACCCAGGTATGTGGAGCTGGGGAAAGTTGTAGTCCCTCCCTTTGAGTGGAGATGAGCAAGGGCACTGTTGCCAGAGCTTCTAGCAAAGGAAATGGAAAAGCGTACTCTTTTATCTGAGAATGTATTTGGCCTCATGCAAGACTATCCAAGGGAGGCTGCCCATCCCTTGATTGTGGCAGGCTTGGATGAGGTTAGGAAGGCAGCCCTGCACGGGACTCAGGAATGCAAGCCAAGCAAATGCATGGACAAAGTTCGGGCAACTCCCTCGCCCAGGCAGCCGGATTCAGTTATGGAGTTTCATTCCAGTGCAGGTTGTGCCGAAGGCAACAAATGGGTGTGAAAGGAGGTGGTATAAAAAAACAAAACAAACAAAAAAACAAAAAAAAAACAAAACAAAATGGCAGCATGTTCAAAGAAGTATTCATAATAGCAAAGTCTCAGGTGAGGAGGTTTCCCTGTTTAGGATGGCCAAGTCACTGCACAACAGGCAGGAAACCCCCCTTCAGTGGTTGAGGGAAAAGGCATGGGAGCAGCGGAAGGGGTCACAGCCTACTGAGGTTTCCCAGAGATATAGATTGTGATGGCAGGACTTGACTGCTATGCCAGAGGTTTTTCACCCATGTTCTAGGCAATCAAGGTGAGCCACGCTCTTTCTCATGGGGTTTCCTCTCTTAAATTGTGTTTCAGGCCCAGAGAGAGACAGCAAAGTCATGGTCAACCCGATTCGAGAAAAACGAATGGCTGATGTTAACGTTTACGGTTCAAGCTTGAGATGGGTTCCATTTGGAGGCTCTATCCCCAACGGAGCTGTGTCCTTCTGGAATAGTTATGCCAATAGGAGAGAATATCCATGTGCCACATCAAATTGTCATATTGGCTTCTACACCACAGGCCGTGGCCCTTTCTGTTCCTACCCTTATGCAGACCATGAGATGCAGACAAGTTCCTTCTCTCTTTTAGTGAATCCAGGAGAGCGAGAAACCTTGGTGTGGAAAGCTGGTTCATGGGGTTCAATTCCAAACAGAGCTGTAAATGCCTGTGGAGGAGACAACATTTACGTGGGAAAAAATAGATACGGTCTTGGGAAGGTTGACCGCAGGAATGCCGCTTTTTTTATTGGGATTGATGGTAGTGAATACTTTTATAAATGGTATGATGTCCTGACGTTTGCTTAGCAATGGCTTCCAGTATGAGAGATGCAAAGAACTATCAATACATGGAATCAAATAAGGCTTTGATCCAAAGCATTCTCTAAGCATTAAGAATCACTAAAATAAATAGGACTTAGTTTGCGAAGATTCCAAGATTTTCCTTATCGGAATTTCATCCCAGTGTTGGCATTCGAATGACCCTAATGCAAAATGCATTATTCTGCTGAGGCTTTCATGTCCTTTTGCTCTTCTCTGGTCTAGTAATTCTTCTGCATGTTCTGGCAGAAGACAAAGCCTCTGACAGGCCCAGCTTTGGAGCTTTGCTCTTGGGTTTGAAAGATTGTCATGGTGCCAAGCATAGGTAATTCACTGTTAAGGGGAAACACTTCTCAAAGGTTGTTCAGAATGGGGAACTGTCTCTACCCAACCCTCCTCACACATGTCCAGCTATTCTTCTTATGATGTACTCCCAGAAAATGGGAAGGAACTTATTAAAACCATCTTTTCTTTCTCAAGATGAGTGGCAGCGTACTTTCATGACAGTCTTCAGTTTTACACTTCTTTGCATACAAACTGGGGTGTGTGTGTGTGTGTGTGTGTGTGTGTTTCCATTCTGTTATCTGTGTCACTGCTTGCAGTGGTGAGAAGTTTCAGGGGTGAGGGGTGTCCCTGGGTTCAGTTTCATTCCTGAAGGGGGTCAGAGGAGTCCTATGGCAATCTGTAATGTTCACGACTTCCTCACAAGCACGTAGAGCCAGAAAACGTGGACTAAAGGTGCATGCAAATAGATGGTTCCAGGCAAGAAGAACATTGCGCCAGGCACAAACTACAATGCAGCAGTATCAAACAATAAGAAAGAGCATATTTAAAGGAGAAATAAGTAAGACCCCCAAGCACATTCCTCCCACCCTAGAGCGATTGCTCCCTCCCACATCCCATTGATTTAGCGTAATTAAGCAGGGCTGATGTGGCCATGTGTCTTCTTGTACAAAGGGCAGTCTCCCATGTTAAGGACTGTCCTCTCTTTGAAGCCCTCACCTATTTGAAGTGCTACCCTATCCAAAGCTAGTTGAAAGATCACCAGCCTGAAGAACCTAACATAAAGTATAATGAGAAGATACAGTATTAAAAAGCAAACCATTATACATAAAGGGCCATCAATACAGAGGATTTGAGAACTGATGGAACAAGCAGGCGCAAGGTCCCTTGCTCACAGTCTTCTGTACTATGGGCAGATGTACCATATATATTTCTATTTAATCAACATCACCCTCATTTCTAAATTTGATTTTAATGCATATACATGCAGATTAGCCCATGCACATTTCAGGCAATGCACCATCGCCTTTGGTCCTTTTTGATGAGGCGTTTCCTCTTTTCCTTGTAAAGTATATGTGGTTATCCTACTTAAAGCTGTGGAGTGTCTAATAGTTTGTGTCTCTGAAGCATATTCCAAAATTAGAGTGACTGCCGTGGGCACCACCACAAAATGGCTTTCATCAGCCCATCCCAGAGACTAAGTACGGACCAGAAGTACTGGGCTGAGCCATAAGGCAGAAAACCATTCACATGAACCCAGTTTTTTGTGACCAACAGAAACGGATTTCATAGAAGGCAAAACCTGCATTTTTCTCTCTGCCCAACTCTCTTCCAACCAGCTCATCTCTCCACATTCTTTCTCTCTCCGTCATCCCTGATGACCACCTACACATGTTTCCCATTGCCACAGATTTCCCTAGATCCATAGACTAGTTTTAATTGTTATCAATTCTCCATCCACCCATGGGCTCCTGGCCCCCTGCAGAACACATAGAAAGACAGAAACAGAGCGAGTCAGAAGGGGTCTCCCGGGCCATCTAGTCTGTCCCCTGGCTCCAGGCAGCTCCGCTCACGACATGCCCACCATGTGCATGTCCAACCTCTGTTTGAATACTGGTAACCCTTACACAGGTACCAGTTCTTGCACGTGTGCACAAACACTACAAACAAATTCAACAGTCTTAAATCAAAGCAACAGCTGTAGCTGCATGCAGCCACTTTGCCATGCTAGCTGGAATTCAGGCTCACGGTCAGACCTTTATCTTGAATCAACATCAACCAGAAACATACGGTCTGAAACGAACTGTCACAAGCACAACTCTCCTCACTCACTCATTTACATTTTCCTACATTTCTCTGCGCCAGTGTTCAGATGAAAGCAGCACAAGGCCACTTGTATGAAATGAAATAAATGAAAATCAGGCTTTTCAAAAAGAGGATGTTGTTTTCCCAGCTGACCACCAGAGGTTGCTGCAGCTCTAAGTTATAACTCTATTTGCACCAGGCACAGGACTTCGCACATAAAATGAAAATATGCAGAAATAAATGCGCAGAATGCTCTTGGACTGGTAGTGCAAAGAACTGTCCTTCTAAATGCACCCTGTGTATAAGTGTAATGTGTGGTTAAAGCAACCAAAGAGGCAACAGTGCAGCACGTGGAGTATGTTCTGATTGGGGTCACGGGTGATTATCAATGAATCATGACTTTGCACTGATTCTGTTTTCAGTTCATCAGGAGAAAAATCTTATTTTCATACATATTGAGAAACACTGTATAAATTCATAAATAAATGCATGAAAACATATAGGCGACATGGGGTTTGCAGAAATGCTGCATCCATGTGAAAGGTGATGATGTGTCCTATTATACAGAGGAGAGTCCTCCATACGAAGGCATCCCCTTTTGGAAAGGCTGTCTAGCCCAAGCCCAGTTTAAAGGGAAGAAGCATTGGAAGGGACTTGAATTGTCCACCAAGAGTTAACACCGGGCCAGCAGATTGAGTGGGCATGCGGATCCCGTGGTCCATGGTTCTCACTATAGCGAGCTTAATTTCCATTGAAAAAGAGTTGTTTTCAAAATTGCATCTACATGTATGCAAATCTGTGTGTAACCATTTCTGGGCACATGCTTCCGACAGTGTGCAATGCAGAAGTGCCAAACTTACTCATCCATGGCATCAGCATAAATCAGATCCTGCCTTGAACCACTCCCGATTCTCTTAGAATCAGCATCGAGAAATGATTTATCAAGATTCAGGCCATCAAGTGTTACACCACCTCTATTTATACTAAATCTGTAATGCATTTGCTATGGTTGCTATTTTCACCAGGTCTTTGGGTATTTGTTCCTACTACTGAAAGAGTCACACAGAAAACTGTGGCTGGTGTATAAGGACTGATTACCTGCCGGCCTTAGGAGGTTGCCCTGACCCAGTTGACATGCTAAGTGGCATAGAGCATAAGTGGGACACTCTAGCCCCCTGCCGTGCTTAGGCACTTCTGTGAGCCGTATCTGCTGGGAGACCTTCCCTGTGCTCTGCCCAACAGACCTGCCAAGGAGTATCCCTTCAAAGTGGCCATGATTATTCCTCCTCCTCCTGCTCCTCCTCCATGCAGAGCAATACTGTATTTAAGGTGCTGTTGGAGGACCACCCTAGACCTGAAAGCTGTCCTGCTCCTTTCCGAATCCAGTTTCAGGAGAAGAATGGCAAGGAAAGAGAGCACCCAGAATTTTTCAGTGAGTACCGTCGTGGTCTTTGCAGAGCGAGAAGATCAGACTGATCTTGTCCAGTCAGCTCCACACTGCTCCAGAGCTCTGCTGGATGCCCATCCAAATTCAGAGTGATATGGGCATCCTCAGAGGACTGTGCCCAAAGAAATAAAATGAAAAGAACTGAGATTGAGCCACGAAATCCATTCAGAAAAGAAGAGTGCAGAAACTGAGAGGATGAGAGGAGGAAAGCAGCTTCATTTTCCAGCTATAAAATGCCTCATCTCAAAGAAGGCCCGTTAGCCAGTTAAGTGTTATTTAGTGAATTGTTCCTCTGCCTTTTAAGTGTGTGTATAGAACTAATTAACTTGTACACTACAAAAACCTTAATGCAGACTTGCTTTTTAGGATATCAAACCACAACAAAAGGGAACAAGCATTCAAACAATTGTACTCTTTAATACTTTTTCAATCCATGTTACAATATGCATTGCAATAAAACAATGTGAAGAAGTCAGCCGGTCTGCTTTCATTTCATAGATGCATTGATTACAAGTCAAGGCTGGAGAGAAATATTGAGCCAAAGAAGGAGGAAGCTTTCCCAAAATGCCTGCTAGGTATGAGCAGGTTCCATAGCAGCTGAACCACGATGCCAAATGTCATTTCTTGGACATGGGTGCCATTATTTGCAATAGAGCCTCCTTCCAAAGAAGCATGTTTAGGATTATAGTTTTGGAGAAAATCTGGGGGGTTTTTTGGTAGCATTTGGTAGCATGTTGAATGTCAGTTTCAGCAAATGCGTAAAATAGACTGAAAACGTAGTGTGGGTATGTTCTAGGCACCCCAACTTCTGATCAGGCAAACGGAGCCTAGTCAATCTGCCATGTGTTGTGTCTTGCCAGTTATTTAACCATGAAGGTTGAGGCAGGCAGGGAAACCAGGAGCTTAGCATGGATGTCCATGTGGCCTGGGTGAGCCACATGTTGGACTCTTATCAGTTATCTATACGTGGATGTGCTTTGCATTTGGATCCAGGCATGCAATGTAATTCTAAAGAAATGACTCCAACTTTGGATGTAGGCATGCAACGCAACTACTCAGTGGTGCTTACTTTGTATGAAGGACACCTAGAATGGCAGCCTAAGGTAATAGCAACTAGTTCCCATTGAAAACAGTAGGATTTAAATGATAGGCAACTCCTCAGATGGCGTTTAGTGGGGCTCAGTGCAAATAATGGTGTCTGGCTCTACCTTCTGGATTTAGGTTGTTAACTTGGGGTGCAATTCTGTGCATAAATATATGGAAATCAATCCCATTGAAGGAACTGGGATTTATTCCCAAGGAAATCTGAACAGACTAAGGTATCAAGCTGCTATTCTGGGGTGATGGCAGAACGATCCCTTCTTGCCCTCTAGTCCATACGTGTGATGGTGAAGGCCCCTGGATGTGAAAGCCCAGCCTGCAATGAACCTGCTTATTTCCCAGTTGCCCAGCAGCACCTTCTCTTCTTCATTTCTGCCATGGCCTAAGATGACTAGACAATCACTTTTGTGAGCTAATACTGTGCAGCGCATGGGTTTGCATTGGGAATGGGCTCACAGCGCATCACCTCTGTGTGCACTTGTGCAATAGCTATATTATCACTGGTTCCCTGGACTCTGGCCATTCGCTTCTCCCCACTGTAGTAGTAGCGAGTCGCAGTGGCCATGAATGGAATATTTGCTTTCATTCTTTTGCCTTTCATGACCACTTCACAACTGTGATTGGGTGGGACCTCAAGGTCTACCGTCTCAGTGTATGTGATGGATTCACTCTGTGTAGAGCCCTGATTCCAGCTGAATGTTTTCTCGGCCGAAATGCTCCAGGATGCACCAATGATTTGAGGAATTCCTGCTGTCATGCTAGTGTTCACGCTCCTGGAGAGGGCAATGCCAACATCCCAATGACGTTCGGAACTTACTGTCCCTGACAAGGTGGTGCTCTTCTTCACTGATGTACATTCATTGTTGGAGACCTTGCTGGAAACGATGAGCATAGACTCTGTACTGTATGTCCCCTGCTCTATCATGTAACTGACATTGCTAATCCTCTGAGATCTATAGTCTTTATTAATGGTCAGCACATCATAGTATTTATACCAGTACTCTTTGCCCTGGTAACCTAAGAAGAAAGCTTTATTTTTGCTGTCCACCTTCCCTAAGCCATATTTATTTTTCCCTACATAAAGTCTTACACCTGCACAGGTATTGATAGAATTGGAGGGAACGCCACCATATGAATCAGCTTTCCAGCCCAATGATTCAAAATGATGGCCATTGACCAACATCCAAAACTTAGAGGTGTTGTATTCTTTGTTGCCATAAGGGTAGAAACAGTAGGGGCCATAGCTTGGGCTATAGTAGCCTGCGGAGCAACCTGCCACCATACAGGGATATTCCCACCTATTCCCATAGGCATTCCAGAAGGGCACAGCTCCGCTGGGAGCAGAGCCTTGGAACCAAATCCAGCCCAGGGTGGTTTCATAGAAATTGTCAGCATTCCTACTGGAAGTATCTTGGTTTTCAGTGAGGATTGGTGCTTTTCCACCATCTTGGTTCTGGACTGAGTAGAGAAAACAAATGAACAAAGAAACACAAGTTTAAGGTTAATAGAAAAAGATTTTCTTTTAGCTTCCTCATGGCATGGGATCTGCTGCAGAAGCATAAACATATCCCATGCCAGTCATGGTGGTACAAGTTGTGCAAACTCTAATTGATGCGGGAACCTAGATGATTTGACCCGTTCCCACACCAGCATTTTCCTAGCTGGGGAGACATTTGGAATACTGCTGAACTGTGCAACACAGCACCGCCTGGGTATCTTGAAATCCAGCTGAATGCAGACCTGCATCACTGAAAGAGGAGCTACAGCAGCAAAACAGAGGACAGAAGAGGATGCTGATTTGGAAAGTGATATGTATATGTAGATTTATATTTGTGTATGCAAATATATGAGAATTCTTACATTTAAGAATGTGTATATGCAAATATATGCAAATTAAGAAACCAACAAGTTACCTGAAATACTGTCCATCTGAACATAAGGGGACGATTGGAACCAGATGCCCCTTGTGCCTCCTTAGTCACTGTGTTTCAGGGGCTAACCGTTGAAGTGTGACTTCAAGGTGCTTTCATTCTCTCCCTCCTTATGGATATTTCCCTTTAAATGAGTTTTTGACTGGGCAGTCCTTCAAACTGGGGACATCCTCTGATAGAGACCTTCTTCCGTGACATGCTTTCAAATGGAGGACTCTCCTCCGTAAAGTAGGGTACAGAATAGCCCTAGTTATACTTAGTAGTGGGGCTGCAGCCAGGCTGCACAGCCCCAGCTGCCTACATTCGAGGAATGCCTGAGAGTGCTCAAGTGTCAAAGGGTGAAGGGGAGACTATTTCTAGGGTACTGTCCCCCATACCTACCGGTTGCCGCCTGACCTGTTTGCACAGTTCTGTCCAGGACGGTGGGGGAGGCGTCCATCGTGCTGGCGCAGGACTCACCCGTGAGCAGGGACACAAACACAGTGCAGAGCAACAGCTGCATCTGAAACAAACGGCAGGTAGGCAATTGGACTGGGAAGGTAGGCTGGGAAGCAGAAGGCATTTTTATTTGGACCACCAGACCTTTAACATTTACCTGAAATGCAGAAGTAAACACGGTAAACCTTTTGTTGATTATTTTCCATGTACAGCTTACAGAAACATAGAAACAAAGCGGGTCAGAAAGGGCCTCCCGGGCCAAGCAGCTCCAGCTGGCTCTGCTCATGTAATCTCCAAATAGTGCTTTTCCAATCTTCTTTCTGAACACCCTCATGCATGGGGCCTTGACCACCTTTCTTGGAAGCCCATTCCATATCCTGTGGGTTCTAACCGTCAGGAAGTACTTCCTGACATCCAACCTGAAGGCTAGTTCCTTGAGCTTTGCCCCATTGGATCATGTCCTGGTTTCCACTGCAGGGAAGAACAGCTCATGACCCTCTTCCACATGACATCCCCTCACATTCATACCTGTAAATCACTAAAAGATCCCCTGAAAGGTTGTCACATAGAGGAGGACTGGGATTTCTTCTGGATTATCCCGGAGTGCAAGACTTGGAAGTCACAGGAAGCCAGATTCCAGCTGAACATCAGAGAAAACTTCCCAACGGTTAGAGCAGTACAGCACTGGGACTAATTACCATGGGCTCTCCCGCAGTGGAAGCATGCAAGAGGCAGCGGGACAGCCATCTGCCAGGGATGCCTTAGTTGGAGTCTGTGTTGAGCAGGGGGTTGGACCTGACGGCCTTAATGACCACTTGCAACTCTGTTAGCCTGTCCTTCTAAACTCGCTTTCTCTGGAAGAAACACTATTTCATTTTGGAAAAGAACAATGAAATAAAGTAGCACCAATAATGTATTACATGCTAACCTAGCTAAAACAAACTATATACTATTTTCCAAATTAAGAAGAAAAAGAGGATGCTGCAGCAAGGAGCATCAGCCCCATCAGACCACATCCTCTACCAGTCAACAAACCTCCAGTGTGTCCAGAATTTGAGTTTGTGCTCCAGCCACCCAGAACATGCGTCCCTCATCGTGCCGCCTTACACACTGACATGCATTTCACCCACAGACAAACACTCTGAGCGATGTCTAGGCTGGCTGCAGTACTATGTCCGCTTATGTGTTAAAACTGTGGGAAATCCGTGCTCAGATTCTGTTCGGTCGTGAAGCTCACTGGCTGGCAGGGCCAACTCTACCATGAGGCACAACTGGTGGTCACCTCAGGCAGAAGGTGCACATGGGCTGTGCTGGCAGCCTCCAAGATGTTCCTCACAGGCTGCACTGCTGTCTGCTGGAGGGACGCCCACATAGCTGTGTTGTCCTACCAAGAATGGAGCTTCTGGAGACTACCTCAGCACTGACGTTGAAAGAGGAACCGACTGCCAGTCCAGCAGGCTTCCATCCATGAAATGGGGAGTTGGTGGTAGCTTGTCCTTTGCTTGGGTGGCAAATGTGGGTCAGTCAGCCCTGCAGACTGGACTTGAGCAAAGCACTCTCTTCCAGGGCAACATACTTGGCATGCCTGCTCTGAATACAGACAAGGCCTGAACACTGCAGTGAAATGTGTGAGCAAAAGAGTCATTTCTAGGGAACATAAACCAAGCACTTGCCAGCCACCTGCCCAACAGCCCACAGCCCATGCCTACATAGCTGCATCTGGGATAAAACTCTTTTGGAGCAAGGTGACAGCTCTGATAGAGGCCACTTACCTTGGGATCCATTGATGCTACTGGCACAGCAGCCCTGAGAAGAAGAACCGAGGCCTCCTTCTGTCTCCCTTTATACAATCTCCTGGGTAAGAAAGGAGGCAATGGCCTCATTTGTAGGGTGGGGCTTTGTGCGGATGTGGAGTAGGTGCCTTGTTTGCTTTTTTGGAGAGAATTTCCTAGCAGGTATGGAAAGTTGTCCCCTTTAGGATGTCACAAACTGATATATTAAGTTGATTTATGGGAAGCCTATCAAGTCCATATTCCAGATTCTAAAGCAAACATTTGAGCAGAATTCACAGGTGTTCATCTGCATCTTGTTTCTCACAGGGGCCAAACAGATGCTTCTGGTGAACTTTCAACTTGGATGTGGAGTGTAAAGCCATTGCTTGCACTGTTCTTTCAGAAGTGGTGTTCTGTAGCACACAGTTATAACTGTGAGCCATTAACAGAAACCCATTTCTTAATTTGTTTTATTTCCTCTAAACTTTGATCTCGCCTATTGACCAGTGCCATATATTGTGGCTCTGAATTATGTGTTATTTTTCTGTTGCCTGTCCTAAATATATTCGCAAGTAATTTCACAGGACAACCTCAATTCCCAGTATAAGAGGGTGAGCTCTGTTAATTAAGTTTGTTCCCTCTACACATAATTAACAGGGGAAGTTAGTGTCTCCCATGCTAATGGGTCTTCTTATCTATTGCAGCTTTTCTTTTGAGCCTTATAGGAGCTACCTGATAGCAATAGTGCTTTGACAGAGTACTACAGAGTGCTCTGGAGTACTGCATTGTGGGAAACTTCAAATGGAGGAGATGCAGTGCACAGAAGAAGAATGCCACAGTTGTTAGGTGCCGACATCAGAGAGCAACCAACACTGAGCAGTGTTCCCAAGGTCCTGTTTAGCCTGATCTTGGTCCAGTCCCTTCATACTTCAAACCTCATTCTTATCAGTCCTCCTTTTTCCTGTCACCCTTGCATGTCCTTTTTTCAGCTTTGTTTTAAAAGCTAGCTCATATTTATCCACCTTTCTTAACCCCTTTCCTCTGGGCCTTCTTCCCCTTAACTTTTGTATTTCCTGAATAATCAGTCCTAGAATCTCTCTGTTTAAACAGGCTTCTCCCCCTGTCCTCCCAATTCCACCCAGCAGCTTTCCCTTAATCTGTATAGAATAATCTACCCTCCACCCAAACCTGACCTCTCTCCACGTTTTGTTGCAGACACCTTTCCCTAAAAAGTTGGAATGTTTGAGAACATTCCATAATATAACAAGAGCTCAGAGAATGGTTGTGGCTTACAGCTGACAGATGATTTCTCACTTTTTAAAAATCCAATATAGTAAAGCTCTATTACTTTTCCAGTTTGCTGTGAACTCGTGATGTCCAAAGTAAGTTTCATCAACTTTCATGTTCCATGAGGAAGGCCATGGACCATCCTGTTTTGCCTCTACTGGGGAAGAGCAAACTCAGAAAGCCTTAGGCCAAACATGAAATGAATACAAAAAAGCCCCTTCTCTCCCATTCCATTTATGACGTGGAGCAGGCCAGGTTGCAGGCAGCTTTGGCCGCCACTAAATTGATAGTGGAAGATTGATTTCCTCCTGGCCTCATTTTTTATGTACTGGTGGAAGGGCAAAGCTTGGCCTTCTTACCATGGTCCTTGAATTCATCAGTATTTATTGACTGGCCTGTTATATCACCTTTCCAAGCTAGTAATGTATGAAAATAATACATGAAAGTGATACATGAGAGGCCGGGGGGGGTGCATTAAAAATCATTGCCCAAACATTTCAAAATGGTCTGTTAGGGTTAGACAAAGCTATCAAGACACTAGTGCAGCCCACTAGTACCCCACGGTGGTACCCTCCAGATAGCTAGCTGGAGCATGCTGGGAATTGTAGTCTTACCTCTGGAGGGATGTGTGAGGAATTCATTTCAGAACTGAACCTCATTTGCACAATCTGCTGGCAAAAGTGGTACTTTCCCAAGTGTGCAAAGATGTTCATTGGGGGAAAATCTGTTCAAAATATCTATACATTGGAAACATTTACATGGGAAAATGCATACTTTTTAAAATAAGGCAAAACAATTGCACTTTAATCCAGGGGAGAAGATATGTGGTTTCCACTATGCAGCTAGGTACACACCCAAGAATGGCATGGTTTTCACATGAAAATAGGAAGGAACTTGCAAGCTGATCTGGACATGAGTCAGTCCAAACTCTGAGGTGGAATTTGGAGAACTGAGAGAAGTTCAAGTTTCACTGATTTCCAGTTCTTACACTGAAAGGCTGTCAGAGGCCTTGATGAGGTCTATTATTAGAAAGGTAATCACATTCAATTCTAGATAAAGTACAGGAGAACTCTGACTCATCAAGGCCCACAATCACTTGGCCACCTTCTTCCACACCATGAGGAGAAAGGTTGTATTTTGGCTTAAATTATAATCATTATTCCTATGATAGCATCTATACCTATAGATTTGCATGTGCAAATGTTGTGCAGATCAGTGATTTCTTTTGTCCTCTCATTGAGGATATATTTCCTCTTTTATGGTAATGTGTAAGGGGTCACTCTAGTTGGACCCTGATTGTTCAATATCTCAAATCGTGGGTGAGGGGACCTCTGTGAGTAGAGCAGACTCTTCAGAGTGTTCCCCAGCAGGGGGTTTGCACAGGGATGCAAAGGAAGGGGCTGGGCTAGTTGCATACCCCTCCTTCCCGCTCTGTGACCTTGAATGCCCATGGATACAATGGAGGCTGGTACATCCACTTTCAGGGGCATGATGCACCCGCTCCAGAGGTTTAAGGAGCTATCCATGGTGCTGAAAGGGTTTAGCATACTACCCAGAGCGGTTACACCTGCTTCCCTGAAATTGGAGCCACCACTGCATAGCCGATCAATGGTGCCCAGTTCAACAATACATCTGAGACTTGTACTTCAGCATCTGCAAACCTGAGATTGGCACTTTCACTGTATGAGCCATGTCCCATTTTATAGAGCCATTGATTTTACTCCCCAACCCTGTTGTACAATTGCAACCTTTCATGCTACACGAACACAGAGGTGGCATTAGGTTTTGGTTGTTTTGTTATTTTATTTGTTCCTTATTGTAAGCTGTCCTGAGACAACAGTGGTTGCACAGGGTACAAAAGTTTTAAATAAATAAATAAATCCCCACTAGGAGAGGAGCCCCATATATTGCAGGTGGAAGCCTGAATCTCTGGGAGACCATC